TTTTTTCTCTTTTTTTTTTCCATTTTTCTTTTTATTAAAAAATCCTAAAAAGGGGGGAAAGGCAAAGAGGAAAAGGGGGCCGGGTTTTTGCTGCTGTAAATAGAGTGATTTTATCCGAATCTTGGTTTTTCAACAGTTTGTCCTCTGGGCATCCGTAGTTTTGCTAGAACCAACCAATCACAGCCAACACCGCCCTTGCCGCCGCGTGGGGCCACTACTAAATCCGTCTAAAGGAAAGGCACACAGGTACGGTACTCAGTAGTAATAATATCTGTGTGTAATAGACAGCTCACTCCGATGGCTTGCACTTATCATGGGATGAATACATTCTCGTCAACAGTATTAAAACTTGATATTAAGAAGGGTGGAGCAAAAGATATGCATGGTAGGCATGTGAAATGCATTTCCGCGATGGCCTAGACCGAAGCTGATACGATTGAGCACTACGGCTTAATCCCGATGTACCTCAACTTCGATTATGCAACTGGAATTTGGTAAGGAGTATATTCCTATCACTCCGGTAACATTATCCGCCGAAGCCGGTGGTTGAACCGACTCTAGAGGAGGTCTTTTATCCATACAGGCTAACTGACTTACTCCCATTAATCACATATATCTTGTACTATGAAAAATAAAGTTACGTGTCGGATCCGAGAAGCATGGAGGTGGGGGCGCAATACTGCATGCTTCACGACTCTTCAAATAAAATAATTTCGCGAAAACCATGGAAATCGTCTCGTCTTCGTCTATATGAATATACATAGGGGTCCATATTGAGCTTGTATCAAGCTGTCTTGTATATTCATCTTGGTTGAATCCTACTTGACCCCTGCCCGTTCAAAGAAAATGCGCATTACCGAAATCACCGTCTTTAGCTACACTGCTCATTATAGCCGTGGGGTCTTCTCCATGTCGAATGGGCGGAGCAGCACCGGTCACCCATCTCTTGTTATTCGGATTCGCACCGACAAAGGCATCGAGGGCTGGGCCAAGAACGCGCCTCTAGGCAGCTCTTACCTGCCTAGCACATATACCGGCGAGCTTGCTGCTCTTGAGGAGCTTTGTCCACAAGTTCTCGGGCTTGATCCCCGATCCCCTGCCGTGATTACTGCAAAGCTGGACCTGGCCATGATGTCAGGTATGGCTGCCAAGTCCATTATCGATATTGCTTGCTGGGACATTCTGGGCAAATCCGTGGGTCTACCAACACATGTCTTGCTGGGCGGCTGTCTCAGTGAAGCACCACCTGCATTTTCCGTCGTCGGGGTTGACGACATCCCAGTTGCTGTGCAAAAGGCAAAGAACGAACACGCAAACGGAACTTTAGCTTTGCAACTCAAGATTGGAAATGATCCAGTCGCCGATGCCAAGCGCATCAGAGCTATACGCCTGGCTCTTCCTGAATCTGTATACTGCTTCGCGGACGCCAACGCGAATTGGAACTTGGCAGAAGCGCTTGTTTATGCTCGGGCGCTTGGGCAGGACATCACTGTTCCTTTCGAACAGCCATGCCGAACCATTGCTGATTGTGCCAAAGTGGCTCAACTTACCGGCCTGCCGGTTATCCTTGACGAGTCAATCTACACCGTGGCTGACCTCGTGGAGGCTCACGCAGGGGGGATAACGGGAGTGAACATCAAGCTGTCACGAGTTGGTGGCATGACCAAGGCCCGGATCATGCGCGACACGGCGGCGGCACTCGGCATGTCCATCAATGTTGACGACTCTTGGGGCTGTGCTCTGACCACTGCACAAAATCTTCAGATTGCCTCTTCGACACCGCCAAAACTATTAGGTGCCGTTGATTGCTATGCTGAATGGACACACCCACTCATAGCTGATGTTCCCCGCGTGCAGGCTGACGGCCGGGCTCGTCCTTCTCAGCTACCCGGCAATGGCTTTGGTGCTATTAATGCAGATCTTCTCGGAGAGCCGCTGCTCTCTTTTATAGAATAGGCGGATAGTACAAGGAAATATCAGTCAATATCCAAGCAGTTTATGAAAGGCTATTAGTCAATCTCCAAACATATAGTGTAGTAGTGTCAATTGCAGCAATGCCCCCAATAAAACTGAATATGGCACTTCGACGCCACACTCAGTGGGAGATATGATTGGAGGATATGGCTGTTATATGCTTTATCCTAGACAAATGTTTCTTCTTTTCTTCTTTTTTCCACCTAATGCTCAGTATTGCTCTACTTTATTACTTTCGCTGTAGCGCATTGTTATCGTAGTTGGAACATCTCGTTTACGTATAGCGCTCGACTCTGATTATGTCGTAACTACTGACGTAGTCAGTACCCACCGCAGATCACCTGCGTGGGTATATAGTCGCTCTTTAGCACCTCTCTTTTGTAGACTAGAGATCAACTCAGACAACTTTCAATGCTTCCTCGATCATCTCGTCTTCAGTTCCCTCTTCACACATCGACTCAGGTGAGAGATTCCTTTGACGATCTCTATCTCGTCAGCCTCATTGCCGGGTTGCTTAGACCCAAACTTCTCAAGACTTTTCAGAAGAGCGAGTAAAAAACACTTCACCTCCACTAACAACCTTCGCCCATTCATCAACGGAGTCCTCTACTTCGGACAGCTCAACTTCAATGATATTCTCTTCGTCATCATCATCCTCACCACCTCTCCAGCGCTCATCCGAGACCCACCACGGTTCTGATAGGCGGGACTTGTCAAAATCCCTAGCCTTGTAGTGCGCCCTCTTCCTGGCGTAGAGAAAGAACTGCAGCAGTTGGTGAGTGCTGTCGATGGCCGGCTGCCGGTAAAGTGTCTCAATCTACCAACTGCCCAAGAGGTGGTTGATAATCTCCTGAATTGCTCCATTGCGCACTTTGCTTGCCACGGGTCGACGAATGCTTCTGATCCTTCCGAGAGCGGGCTAGATTTCCAGAATGAAGACAAACCAGAGCGACTGACGATACAAACTTTATTGAAGCTCCACCTCAGAAATCCAAGACTAGCATATCTTTCGGCGTGCTCGACGGCAGAGAACTACGCGAGGCGGTTGACGGACGAGGTGATTCATGTAGTGAGCGGATTCCAAACAGCCGGATTTCCACATGTCGTAGGCTGTCTTTGGCCTGCCAACGACAGAGCTTGTTCAGAAATGGCAGAAGCCTTTTATCGGCTGTTATTACAAGACACCAGTGTTCATTCGGACGACTGGCAAGTAGCCTCGCTGTTGCGGCAGGCGGTCATGGAGGTCCGGGAGAGAAGGATAAAGAACCCAATGTATTGGGCGCCATTTGTTCATTTCGGAGTATAGTCATTTTGTATCTTAGCTCCAACGCAATGGGTTCTATTGCACCAGTTGTCAACAACAGCTTGATTGGCATCTTTTCTCCTGTAGCCACGATGATAGTTGGGGTTTATCTGGCTCCTCCTGATTTTACCTTGTGTAATTATATTCGATATGCCTTGCCTTAGGTTTATTGCTACAATTTCATCGGGCCGTTGTCGCAATCAAATCACCTCTTTTACTCAAAATACTTGACCCTGACTCCTCTGACGATCTCGATCTCGCCTACTTCATTGTCGCCAGTCGCCTCTGTAGAGTTTCCCAAGTTCTTGATAATTCTCTGCTTGACCCATTCACCAGCCTTCACAGGCTCTCCGTCACTGCCAAGGATTTGATTCTCGACAAGCCCGCGCCTTGCCAACACAGGAGACTCCTTGATCGGGACGAGATCCGTGTCATCCTCTATCCGCACCATGTACAGATCACCTAGCCTGTCAATATGTGCCTGGTCTTTTGGAGGGGCGACAACCCTGTGGATGCTTGACTTGAGATATCCATCTGCATTGGCATTAGTATACTTGCGCTCATCGACTTTGGTAGTCATTTCACTTACTGGTCAGAAATTGGAGGGCATCGGCAATGTTGACAGTCAACGCATCGCTCTGCGGCTTGACCCATTTCCAGACCCCCTCGTGTGTCAATACCTGTAATGCTGCGACGGGTTGTCGGAACAAGAGCGTCAGACTTCCCATATCAGAGTGACTAGCAGACAAGTATTAGCGCCAGTTTATGTGAGTGGTTCGGGTATCCTTGACAAACCCTTTGAGCCAAACACCTCCCAATTTCTGGTTTTCTTCTTCGCTTCTTTTATAGTACTTCATGTATCGGAGGTGGTCCCCGCTGGTTTTCTCATATCGGTGTTTGTTGACGAACCATTCTTCATCCTTTAGCTCGAGAGCGATAGCAAATATCACCAGCAACTTCTTCACAATATCATTGTGGATTCTCTTTGAGAATGTTCCAATCTCGTCCCAATGCTGCTTTACAGCATCTGGCTGAGGACGCTGCGAGTGCTCGGGTGTGAACTTTGGAATATTGTAAATTTCAAAGTTATCCTTCACACCGGGTATCAGATTACGTGTGCCTGCTGGTTTCCAGCCGTTGTAATCGCCTTGTTCCAGAGCTGCACGGTACGGCGTCTTTTCTCCCTCTGTTAGGGAGAGGACCGACTTGGCCAGGGCGAATTGGGTGTCGACTTCCGCCTTGGTGAAGCCATGCCCCTTGACGTAGAAGAACCCTGCATGACTATTAGTGGTTATTCATTTGTAATGTCTATAAATGTGTAGTACTTGCCAACATTTTCAATGGCCCGAGAAAACTCATTGGCCAGTCTCTGTTTACCTCCAGGTTGTTCAAAATCGGACAAATCAAGTGTCACAAGATCCGCCCATTCCAGGTTTTCGGACGTTTCTGGCACTTGGACATACTCTTCGAGAGTCACGGTCTCTGTATTACTGGCCATGATTAAGAAACTCAAGCTGCTTCAGCAATGTATTCTGAAAAAAGAGTTCAGCATGCAGCATGAAAGTATAGATCTGGGACCGGCTTACGTTGAAAACCACCAGGTCGATTGACCCCACCCGTCGCCAAGTACGGGACGAAATGACGGGATCGGCTTCACGGCGCACTCCGGACCGACCATTGCTTCGTCATGTTCATCTCTACTCCATGATAGTGGCCGACAAGGACATATCATCGGCAACTAAGCTGGTCGTTCCGATGAATGAGCCCACTTCCGGGTGGTCGTCATTGGGGGCTGCTATGGCGCCATTTCTCCTTTGTCAAACATGCTTAAGCATTAGCTGTAGAACCAAGCAGTCCAGTGATCTGGATACTCCAGAGTTGTGCGTTGCTTCGGGAATAAATTTCTGTATTCGAGAGTGCCAATAGCTGGTTTCGAGATCCAATAGCTATCCGAGTTGGACTGCTTTGACTTTGGTGGTTGACAAGGAAGCATCATGGGCCAGGATGTTGGCGTGATACCCAGACCCCTGCCATGTCAGTAGATACCTACCTAACCTTAGGCACTAGACAAATCATCCACGAACCTCATGTACATTGTGATAATGATAGGTTTTCTCTTAAATGCATCATTTGGGCACTCCAATTCGATAGAACCTGCAGCGAAAGCGTGAGTTGGTGATTGTTCTGCATTGTGCGTCCTGTTTCAAAACGGCGCGTAACCTACAATGGCATCTCTAGTCATCGGTGGCCATGCAGCAGCCACCGCTGATGAGTCGCTCAATGAAAAATCTGGTATCGCTTTCACAGATTTGGGTGTCATTGGCGATGAGGCAAGAAGCCTTGACCCCAAAGTCGAACGGCGAGTTTTGAGAAAAATTGACTGGTTCTTGATGCCAGCAATGGTTATAGGTATGAAAACCCTGGTTGTTTACCTACAAATATCCCTAATTGCTAAAACGTATAACGCAGGTTATGGACTGGTGTACTACGATAAAGTTAGTCTAAGCAATGATGACACAATCTGTATAATTTGACTAACTCCCCGACGTAGGCAATCCTGGGAAGTGCAGCATTGTTTGGGATGACGACGGATCTCCAACTTGCAGTCATCAATTCAGCGACGGGGCAAACTGACACGTCAAGATTGAGCTGGGCTACCTCCATCTTCTACTTTGGCCAACTTGTCGGGTCGTATCCCATGACCTATACCTTGCAGCATTTCAAGACTCGATACGTGCTGGCGCCTGCCGTGTTGATCTGGGCCATTATATGCGCGTCGACTGCAGGTGTCACTACGTGGAAAGGGCTTCTTGTGCAGAGATTCTTCCTCGGTGAGTTGATAGACTGAAGCTTGAGCCTTTCAGATTTATTCCTAATATCCTTAGGATTCACCGAGTCCATCATCCCCACCGCCTTTATGATTACTGTGAGCGGTTATTACACACAATCAGAACAGGCGCTGCGTCAAAGCTGGTGGTTCTCCGGAACCGGTTGGTTCACCATCATTGGTAGTGCACTAAACTATGGCTTTGCACAAATCAAGTCGGGATCTCTGACACCGTGGCAGTACATTTACTTACTCGCCGGAGGCTTGACATTTTTATTTGGCATTTGGTGTTACTTTTTGCCAAATTCACCCACAGATGCTTGGTTCTTGAAGCCCGAGGAGCGTCTCGTGGCCGTTGAGCGACTGCGTCAAGGACAGACTGGTCTCCGGAATCAATCCATCAAAGTCAGCCAGATCAGAGAAGCTTTGTTGGATCCTAAGGTGTGGCTCGTATCACTGACCATGGCTTCTGGGTAAGTAGCGGCCAAGATTACTACATCTTCATTGCTGACTCAATGGCCCAAGGTACACTGTAAATGGCGCAGTATCGGGATTCGGTCCGCTTATAGTATCAACATTTGGATATTCCTCCCTAGAAAGTATCCTCTTTCAGTTCCCGCTAGGGTCAGTTTGTGCCATTGGAATCCCGTTGGCGGGATGGATTTGTTCTCGTTACCGCAACGTGCGCATCCCCCTCCTGCTCCTTTGCTGTTTACCCGTCATTGCCGGATTCATCATCATCTGGAAATCGGAATGGGGACATCGACCTGTCGCACCCGTGGTTGGCTACAGCTTGATCGGCTTTTTTGGTCCTGTAGTAAGCTTGGCCGTGACCCTGGGGGCCGGCAACGTTGCCGGTGAGACCAAGAAGAGCTTCATGGCTTCGGCGGTGTTTGTCGCGTACTGTGTAGGCAACATCGTGGGACCTCAACTCATTCGAAGCGAAACCAAAAGTCAGCACTACCCTGAGTTGTGGACGGGCCTCATCATCTGGTAACTACTATCACCCAAAAGCTCTAATTTTTGCATTGAAGCTAATTTCATAATCAGTTATTGCATCACCATCTTGTGCGCGTCAGCACTGTATGTTCTCTTGTATCGAGAGAACAAGAGACGCGATCAACTATCCTTAGATGAGAATGAAAGAAATAGAAATGCGTTCAAGGATCTCACCGACAAGGAGAACCTGCATTTCAGATATGTATTTTAGCATCTTCAGGTCAGAAATAGTCTTGGACCGATAAAGTCGAGCTCGTTATCAACAAAGAGTTTGACATGTCAAACAAGAAACGCATTATGCTATTATTATTGAAATAAGATACCTATAAATTGAGCCAGCATACGGATGCCCAGAGGGCAAACTGTTGAAAAACCAAGATTTGGATAAAATCACCTTAGTTATAGCAGCAAAAATCCACCGCCCTTTTTGGGGATTTCTTTTTAAAAAGAAAACGAAAAAAAAGTTAAAAAAAATAAGAATAATGTCGTATAAAAGAGAGAAAAAAAAAGAAG